CGTTGCGGCAAGTATCATGATGATGAGGCCAAATATTTGCATACACAAACTTGAGAGTGCCAAGTGGTTGAGCGTTGATAGTCAGCTGCTTTGCCACTGGCAAAAGGCAAGTCATTTAACACAACCTGAAATTACCCCCTGCGCTTCTGCGTTGCGCATTTTTCTACAGCTCTATTAATTATTTATGCGTCTTGCAAGTGCCGTGAGGGCAACACACTCGGCCACTTGGCTTCTTGGCCAACGACGCCTAATGAAGCCACACTCCAGCTTCACATGATGAGGACCGTTTGCTGCTGCTGCTACTGCTACAGCTCCCGTTGAACGACCATGTCGTCATCGTCGTCGCCAACATCAGCATTAATTTGTTCCGGCGACACTTACTAGACAGCTGAGAGCCAGCTCCAGCAGCAGCAGCACATAATTTGTAATTAATGACCAGTTAAAGAGCAACCTTGAGGGGCAGCGAGAGACTTGGCACGACTGCGATTTACAGCGACAAACGGCTGACAGTCAAACGCTGATTTATGGCCGCAGACCGCAAAATTTATATGCCATCACAGAAGTGGCAATGCGAGCCGACTTTCCTGCTGATTCGCAACCATCTGCGGAGCCTGCTTGTCTTTACTCGCAATCCATATTCAATATGGGCTCCGTTTGCTTGAGCATATCGGAATTGTTACTCGTTTTAGAAGAGAAATAGAAATATATATCAAGTGAACCATCCATTCTTTCAGGCAGTCTTAGCCGATGCCCGCGCTATTCAAAAATTAATAATAATTATCATAAAAGAATATTTAATAAATATGAATAATGATATACCATGCTGCTTTATTTAGTTCTCTAATATCTGAAAGAACTTCAATAAATCGTAGAAATTTTATAGCAGGGTTTCATATCTTCATTATTAATAATAGTTATAGTATAGTGCATACAATCTTCTACTTCGAAATATCATTGGTTTCAGTTTTTATGTGTTTGAGTTTGCTTTTGTCACAGCATTTGAATGTGAAATGTCAGTCACATTCCGGCAGGGCTGGGCTTTATGCTCATCTCGTCTGAGTTCCTTCTCATAGATCAACTCTTTGCACCAGCACAAAGGCAAAGTAAAAAGAGGCCTTCGCCCCAGCTCTGTTTCATTTTGTAGCTGCTTTTGGCCATGCAGTAGAGCCAGAGTAGAGACCAACCAAAGCGCAATTTGTCTTCTGGCAGCAGCTTCGATAGTCAATGCTGAGCCCATTTACATTCGCTTTATTGCCATTGGCGTTTTTTTTTTTTTTGCAATGCTCTAAGACATATACGTTTTTCGCATGTTGTGACTTTGTCTGCGGCTGCTGTCAGTCGGCTGGCTTGGGCCGGCTTAGAACAGGCTGAAGGCCTACAGATGCAATGCCTTTCAAATTGTAATTCCTCAATTATAAGAGTGTCTATGCAATGCCTATAAATATTTTTTTGCCTGACGACAGTTTAATACTAGCTTCAGTTGCTACGCTTTTTGATTAATGGCCGCCCTCGATTCGATGCACCGACAATCCCCTAAAAAAGAGAGCGAGGGAAAGAGAGAGGAAGAGAGAGTTCCCACTAAGTGAAACAACACGAGAGATAACTAAAAACAGCTTTTACACTCTGTTTATTTTGAGACCAACTTTAGCTAAGTGCAAAACAATTTACCCAAATACGCGTGCACACATTTCGCTACCACAAACGCACACACACACACGCATACACACACACGCACACACACTTAATTGTTCCCTCGACTAATGCCGCTTTGAGCCGCTGCCGCTGCACGGGGCGCTCTTTGTTGCTGTTGTTTTTTGTGGCATGCTTGTAAAATCAACCTAAAGCTGCTAAAAAACTTGCCTAGTTGCGCACTCCGCAACGTTGCATTTTATACCCTGTAATCGCACACTATTATGGTGAGCAGGTCATAAAGCGCCGCTAAAGCGAACAACAGGATCAGCCGAACAACAAGCAGCATAAGATACGATCTTACGGGCAGTCCCATTTAATTTATTCACTATTAAAAATATAAATTGTAATATAATAAAGTGATTGCCTTCTCTAAGATGATCTCAAGATTGCCAGCTACTTTTTGTAGCATGCAACTTAAATGTACATTCTGCTGCGCTTCTCTCAGTCGAGCACAATCCTTCTTACAGCTTTTATTATGCTAATGCACGTCCCCTTGCCAAACCACCTGAAAAGCTGTGCTTCTTGTTCTGATTGGTGCCAACCGCCCCGCGTTAACTGCATGCCCTTTGTTGTTCCCACACACATATCTTGTTGACAAAGGGGCGGTTGTGAGTAAACAGCTACAGCGGGGGCACAGTTGAAAACTATGTCGGAGGCTTTGGCAAGTGCAAAGCATTTGTGTAATACTTTATAAGTAGCATTACCCTAAGCCAAAATCTACTCGCTCTGTGCGTAATAAGTAGTTGCAACAGTTTTAGCCTGCTCCCAAACCACAACACCGAGAAACATCTTACTATTAGTTAAAAAGCTAATGGAATGGGGTTTTCACGCTGGCAACTAATATAGATCGTTTTTCCGGCGCTATAATTTTGTATTAACTCACCAATTATCCCTAATGGATATGATGAATGTTTAAATATTAATGAACCCTTTTTTGGAACTCATACTTTTTTAGTAAGGCACTTAGGATTTCGTAATTGCATTTTAATGTATTTTACTTTAATAGAATATATTTTGTATAAATTATTTAATTGCACGCAGTATTCTGAACTGTTTGTGTTTAAGTTCCATCTTAGCTTTTCTAAGTGGTTCAACTTTAAGAGCATCTGCTAAAAGTGTAGGAAGACGCCGCCGTCATCTCGTTTAGGTCGCTGCCTGAGAACTTCAGCAGACTGTAAAATAAAAAATTTATGAGCTATAAATTTGCAGGCGCGTTAAAAATAAAAAAAATAAACCTGTCGCGACGGAGGCTGCATTGATGGTGATAATGAGCCCGGTCGCGGCCAAAGGTTGTTGTAGGCAACCTCAGAGGCTGAGACAAAGCCCAAGCGAAAGGCGGGCAATTATGTTTGCAGAAAATGTACAGCATCTAATTGGATCGATGTGGATGGCATACAAAGCAGCAACAGCAGCAGCAGCATCAATAGCAGCTTTCAACAATTGCTCGAAGGATTTGAAAGATGGAACTATTAAAAATTCATAAGACTTTCGAATTGGCAGTCGGTCGAACTGGCTGGCTGGGCTAATTCAATTTAAGACCTGCAGTAAGGCGACAAATCTACTCGCAATCGACCCCCGAGTCGCAATTGCGAGTGAGCAGTTCATATTTTATCGCCGCTGTCGTCTGGCTGCAGTAGCACGTGCCGCAGTGGCACGATTAAATTTCACCAGTTGCCAAGAATTCCTTGCACAGATTTATTTCATTTACAGCGCCCAGTGGCATCCTTTATATAATTTCAATTATCGCCTCTTGGCAACGTCATAAATCTGAGCAGCTGCCCGCTGCGCTGATTGCACGTGAAATATTCTTGGCCAGCGATTTAATTAAGTGCAAGCTCACGGCTATGAACTGTGTCTTTGTTCCTATCTGTAAATTACGCTCCTGCGAGCACACAATGCAGCACAAATCTCGCAGTCTGGTCACAAATTTTGTTGACACTTCAGCGGGCACTTTGACTGCCGTGCCATGGCCAAAAAACATGGAGAAAAAACTGCATATTGTTGTCAGTAAACGGCAGTTGGACCAACCGAAAAGCTGTCTAAACTGTCAAATGCTTTTCTCAAAAGTCGTAACAAAAAAGTTATGCAACAGTGGCCGCAACTGCAAAAACCTGGTCGTGCCACAAAACAGCATCAACAGGAGCAACAACAGCAAACAGCAAACAAGTAAATGCTAACAAACGGAAACAAACAGCTGCATTAGCAGACGCAAATCAGCAGCAGCAACAGCAACAACAGCAATGCTTGCCAAGTTAAGCGCAGTTGAGTTACTCACTTAAAAATTCCAAGCACAAAACGGAAATATGCAGAAGCTAGGGTCAGAAACGGAAATGAACCAGTCGCCATGTTTGCACTGTGTACAGCACCTTGTTGCTCCAGCTATACCCTATAAGCAGGCACTGGTCAGCCATAAACAAACAAATTTTCCATGGTTGCAGGCAACATTTACTAGATATTCATATATTCAAGCCTACAAGAACAGGGTATGCCTAAGTCGCAACTAATCAAACAATTGCTGCTGTCGTGCTTGGCTTTTGCTTGGGCTGGCTCAAACGAATCGCTAACGAGCGTGGCAAGGATGCAAAATGATGAGACGCTGACAGCCTTTAGCTGTAGACTTATGAAATTTACCTTGATTGCTAAGGTGGCATATGGCAGTTGGCAGGTGACAGGTGGAAGGTAGCAAGTGGCAGGTGGCGGTGGCAGCCTGCCTTTCTGACATGCAGTATCAAAACCGCTACAAATTAGAGATAATGAATAATTTCCCTAGCGGTAATTAAGTGCATCATTAAAACGTGCCTAATTGCCAGTTGCTACACTGCAACTGGCCGAAATTGAAGTCGCACAAGTATCTGTGTGTGTGTGTGTGTGTGTGTGTGGGCGTGTTGCTCTAAACGGTTTTCCAATTACCAGCCAACTAAGTCTCCGGCAAAAGTCATTTTCAGTTTGCATATCCGCAAACGTGGCGCACTAAAACAGCATAAGCAACCCGATTACGCCTGCCTGCGGATTTGTGAGCAGCCGCTCCGCTCTCTCAGCCATCCCCGTGCCACTTAGCTGCTGCAGCAGCAGTAGATGCATGCAACCAAATTGACCTGCAGTCTGGCTATCGAATTTTTGCTTGGTTGTGGGCGAGGGAGGATGTGCGGTTTTAGCGTGTGCGTGTGTGTGTGTGTGTGTGTGTTTGTGTGTGTGTGTGTGTGTGTGTGTGTGTATGTGAGTACAATTTGATGTGTGTACGACACGTGTGTGCCGCCAGGCAAACAATCAGTGACCAGCTCCAGCCCAGGTCCAACAGTAACCGCAAATTAGTTGCGCCGGTGTGGCAAGTGCAACAGCCATTGATGCACATGCTCCAGGAAAAGTACACAGCCGGCAATGGTGAATCCAAAGGCCAGCACAAACAGTGCAGCGGAAATGTCATCCACAACAAGTGGCTTGGGCGCCTTTTTGGGCACATAGCCGCTGGCCTGATTGAAGAGTATCTGGCCAGTTTTCTTATCCAAATACTTGTCAACGTTCTGCAGTGGCTAGCAGGTTAGCTCTGAGTTGTGAGCGAGTATTAATTAGTTACCTCCAGCTCCCAGTGAACATAGAGACCTGACTCCTGACAGGCGCGTATGTGCCTGTTCAGCTGTGGCATCAGCGCCCAGCCACGTATGGATACAGCGCGCGTCCAGTCAAAGTAAATATCATCGTGCAGCACCTGACAAAAGACAGTTAAATGCTCATCAATTTCTCCAAGTCAAACGAAGATCACCCACAATACGATTCTCCACTGCCTCACGTGTCACATAGTTGCCGAAATTGAAGGCGCCGGAGACCAAACGCTCGATGCCCAGTCCATAGTTGGGTTGAAAGCTCGCATTGTACAAGTAGCTATAGTCTCGCACCTCAAAGTTATCCGCCAGTATCTGTTCCGTAATCAAATGCGATTTTTCCACCGTGTGCAGCCAGACAATCGAGGGAGCCGCCCACTTCCACTGCGCCTGCGCCCACTTCCCAATCGTGTCCACAGGTGCGCCATATAGAGGAACTGTAAGCAGCGACTTTAGTTGCCCACTGTAAATGTTCTCCAGCGTGATAGTGGCGCACAGCAGAGTGGCCAGAAAGAAGCGTGTAGCAAAGCGATCAAAGCTAAAATGAATTCAAAGAAACTAGCAAATATTGAAAAGCTGAACGAATGAGAAAACCCACGTCAAGGGCGCCGATGGCTGCTGAATGAAGAGTGCATATATATCTAGAGCCGACTTTTCCACATTTTCTGCATGCGCAAATTGTCTCTGTCGTAAGCGCTTCGCCAACAAGTAGTTCGAGTACCTCAGTATATACAAAACCATGCTGCAGAGGAAAATCGTAGAAATCAACAGAAGCCAAGTGCCGCCATTGAAGGGCATAATGTCGGTGAACCAGGCTTGCAAGGGACTATGGTTTGGATAAAGATGTAACTTATATTAAGTAAAATCTTCGAGTTGTGGATAACTCACACAGGAGCTGGTCCCAAGATGGTCACCGCAGATCGAGCTATGGTATGCGAGGTCTCCGTAATGCCATTGTACCAATTGTATATACAGCCAATGGCCAATTCCACGCGCTGCTTATAAATATCGCCAAGCATGCCGTCGGCGGTTTCGTTGTCATAGATGCTACCCCAGTTATCAGCGCCATCTGTCAACGGCAAAAAGAATCAGAAAAAACTGAAAGAACGTCTTTCCTCGGGCCGGAGCACCCTAATTTCAAACAAATAAAATTATACCAATTTTAGCTATAGAGCTAAATGACGATTGTCTATAATATTTCTCTTATATGTTCGGAGTAGGGTAAAACTCGTTAAGAGTAATCAACAAATATATATCTATAGATGATGCTCTGACTGATTCCGTATATAGCTATATGTTATCGATAAGATTTTGTCCATACGTCAAATGTAGGGGAAAAACTTTAAAAATAAAAAAATGTTCATGCAAGATCGTATGATATAGTAATTTCATTCAGCAATAGATGCACGATAATTATAAGACTGAGAACCTAGTTTCTAAATAAAAGAATAAGCGGAATGGCGGACAGACGGACATGGTTTTTATCGACCCGCTTGTTTATACTGATCAGCAATAGATGTTCTTTATGGGGACGTCTCCTACTATATCCTTTACAGGGTAAACAAAATTCTTGAATTCTCTCAAACTTTAAAATATATATTTAAAAACGCGCTTACAACTTAATGTGAGCCTAAAGTGATATTTATTGTATTTCGTTAATGCAATAAAGCTCACTTGAGACTTTAAGCTTGTAAGGCCAGCATTTGTGTATTGTATGAGGTATTTACGATTATATATTCTACTCTTACAGGCCTCAACGCGCAGATGACAGTTGTGTACCTCACAGAAGGTCCTCATAATGTTTGCCTCGGAGCCGTCATAGGCAATTGTACGATTGGCCTTATGCGGGTTAATTGGATCCTTATTGCCGACACCAGCTGCCTGTTAAGTTGAGGGAGTTTATTAAGTTTGGGAGCAGCAGCTCCTAATTGGCGCCCATTGTTGGCCATTCAAGTGTCTCTTCTAATTTACTAAATGGCCTCGTAATGGTCGGGCAAAATGTATGCCACGCCCACACACATGGACATCGACACTCGGCGCCAATTAAATGGAAACACGTAATTTAAATCAATGTTGTGCTAAAGCCGGCCATAAACAAAACCACATGCACATGCTTGCGGCCATGTGTGTATTTGTGTGTGGGTGTGTGTGACACTTACTGTTGTTGTGGGTATGAGTGTGTTTACAAATGTGCGAATGTCCTTAAGGCAAACAATTGAGTGCGAACAAAACTTTCAGCAAATGACAACAAAGAATTTTTTACAAACTGTTTTGTTTGTGTTAGTTTGCACAGTGGTCAAAGTGTGAATAAATGTTATATAAATAACTAAATAAAGAAAACACAGCGAATTTAAATTTGATTCAATTTAAATTAAATTAAACTTTTTGTTTTCTCTTTTTTAATGAAGTCAACAGAACTTTAAGCAAGATCAACTCTTTTTTTATAGAATAAATTCAGGAGTACATTTGCATTAAAAATCATCTGGATTAAATTAAGCCTAGTAATAGTTTTATGGAATGTCCCCCCCCCCCCTTACTTTTTATAACAACTAATGACAAACTGTGACACATACTAATAAAAATATACAGCAAAATTAAATGGTTGAAGTTTTAGCAACCGAAATCGTAGTCCATAACAGGAAATAACTTTCTATCAGCACACCAAGAAAATGCACCACACACAGACACAGCAAACACTCGGATCAGGATTGTTTAGATAGGGGGTAAGCGGTAAGGGGAAGAGGCAGCCGTCGGGCATTTATTCATGACCATTTCGCACAGGGCTCTAATGCGGCAAGGACACAACGATGTGGACAATGTGGTGAGCGAGGCTGGTAAGGACGACCAATTGGCTTTACTTAATGCCGGCGTGCAAATCTCTACGACATTTGTGTGTGCTTTTGGGCGTGCCGACAACAACAACAAGAACAACAGCAATGACAATAAGCAAGAGACTGGTGGCAGCAACAACGATAAATATAAACTTAACCGGCAATTACTTACCACATAATTAGTAACTGTGTATGGCACATAAGTAATGGAGCCGAGGCGAAGCGTGCGCCGCTGCAGATTGCGCAGCTTGTTCGGATAAAGTTCGGCTCGGTTGGCAAAAGTTTCGTTCGGCAAGAATGCGTCCAAGAATATAGCATCCGAATTTCCACTGGCACCGACAAACTTTTGTGTCCACAGCTCCAAATTGATGTCGCGGTATGGGTGTGGCAAGCCGCCCCAGACAAACCCGCCATTGCCGCCAACAAATCCACCTACGTCTGCTCTGCCACATCCTTTATTCGCCTGCTCTTCTGGCCGCACCATCAGATGGTGTGGGTAGACTTAAGCGCATTACAACATGGGGACATTGTAGAAAAAGCCAAAAGGACAACAACCAAATTAAGTTCCAGCCAATAACAACAAAAAAGTTTACAATTGAAGAAGGCGCCGTCAAGCGTGGAAATTATTGGCCAGTGCCAAAGTTGAAAGTTTGATCAACTGATGCGCCCCGTGGCTTTTTTTGCCACGTTTGTATGCAATTGTATATATGTGTGTGTATGCGTGTGTGTGTGTGTGTGTGTGAGACAAAGTTTCGAGTTTGACTTCTTTTGTCAGTGCCCCAAGGGAATCTCCGTCATGTCCACGTTTGATTGCTGACTAAATAAAAATACAGCAATTTTCTGAATTGCTACAAAATTTTAAATGTTCTATTCGGAGATTAAACTAAGCCAAAAACGATTAGCGGAGAGCTATAAAAAAGGTTTAGATAACTTGACATCTGGCCTTTTTCTTGTTCCATAAAACATCACGGGGTGGTGTTAAATATTTTTAAAAGTCTAGCCTCTGTATATAAAACTATTTGTCCTAACTGACTGACTGATTGGATAGCTGTTGGAAGCTTAGGAAGCTTACATTTTATCATAGACACGTTCTGTAAGCAGAGACGAGATTTCGGAAAATGGCAGCCGCAAATGAGAACGAATTGAAAAAGATTAAATGGAACTTTCTTTCCGATCGGCCCCTTGCTCATTATTAAAGATCTTTATTCATCGTTATTTTTTATCTTTTCTAAAAAGTCCATTACTCCTACGTGGAAATGGAGTTAAAAGATTCGGGTGATAACATTTCAGGTTCAAACTCATTTCCGCGGGTCTTAATAAAAATTCATTTGAGCGGTTTTCACACACTTTTCGCAGAGCTCCCTCTTGCATAGAAAATGTTGGTAAAATTTTGTATGAACGTAAGTTTTTTTTTCAGTTTCAGTTTCTTACCACGAAATTTAAGCAGACGGAAAACATTAATTCCAACTTTTGGTTTCTAATTTGGTGAACTTGAAAATAATTTGTAAACATCTTTGTTAAGTATGTCTTGCGACGTCGACTTCAGTATGCCTTAAATTTTCCACGCAAAGGATATGGGGACGAATTGTATCAAATAACTTAGACCGAGAAAGGCAGGAAAATACTAACTATGAAAGTTTACTTTACTATAACTAACTAAAAATATTAGAAACGTTAAATCCTATTAAAGCTCCAAGCGAGTATAAACATATAATTATTACATCTTCTAGTAGCAATGGGCACGAGGAAGGTTCAGCTTTAAATTGACTTTGGTTAGATAACTCGAATTAATTTAAGATCTCTTGATTAGCTTTTTCACTTACATTGCAGTATATCCATGCTCAAGAAATCCCTGGGTTCTTCATGCTCACACAAAAACAAATACAGTTTATCCTTGAGTCTCACGTTGGCGTTGCGCGTGGCAAAGTAACGTGCATGGAGAAAACGCGCCGTCTGCGGCAGCACTGTGATAAAACCCTAGCAATATAAAGCGTATGGCACTTCCACTGTGAGGTAACAATTAAGATCATTGAACGCACCTCAGTCACGCTGGCGTTAACGGCGCGCAGGACTTGCCATTCAATGGCATCCGGCTGGGACTCGTCATCGGGTAGCTCGGCTACGTCGATCCACTGCAGCAACATTGGCCGGCTGAGATTACGCAAGGCCAGTTGCAGTGCATCCAGGTACGCTAACTGCAGATGCGTTGCATACGTGCTATTGTGAACGATCAGCAGCGAGGAGAGTGGCGAAAAATATTGGCTCACTGCAGCAGATTCAAAGATGCAGAAGGTTAAACAGTCAGCGAACTATGGCAAAAGCTTACCAATAATCTGGATTAGCGTGGTCAGGTGAACTAACTGCTGAGTCAGCAACATCTTGAGGCGCTTTAGACCAGCTCTGCAGTAGTGTGGTCTTATATATAGTCGCATCTCTGCCAATTGCTGACCAATAATTGGCTGGCAAATTGAATTTAATGAACTGAACTAAACTGGCGTTCATTTACCTTAGGCCATGTTTGCATTGGCATTAGCTTAATTAAAGATACACAACGCAGCGCAGCTCATATCAATATTGTTTAGTTAGGCCTTCCAGCCAACAAACAATGCCAATAAATAGGCAAGGGTTCGAGCTCTCAAGCCGCACTCAAATTAACCGGAAGTGCGTGCATCAAATGGCCCCATGTTGTGTTGTGTTGGGCCACATAAGTTGTTTACAGATTAAATATGAGCAGACCCATATATATTGAATATGCCGTACTTGCAATTTGACTTATTATCGAAATAGTACATAAACACACTTTGAATTATTCTTGCGGAAGTAACAAAGGAATTGAAAGTGAATACTTCAAGGGAGTTAGATGAAAAGTTTAAGCATTAAATGGCATGCAGTATAACACAATTAATTTAAATGTGAGCAATGTGCTCTTGAAGGAACATGTCCTCTGCTTGAAACATTTATGTAGAAGCTAACGAGCTGTGATTGGAAAGAATTTGATTTACTTAGATAAAAATGGAAGAAAAGGTAATATTAATATTCTAATTATTAATAGAATCAGTATTATCGTTATTATTATTATATTATTATTATTATATTATTATTATTATTATTATTATTATTATTATTATTAGTATTATTATTATTATTATTATTATTATTATTATTATTATATTATTATTATTATTATTAGTATTATTATTATTATTATTATTATTATTATTATTATTATTATTATTATTATTATTATTATTATTATTATTATTATTATTATTATTATTATTATTATTTTTATTATTATAAGTCCAGCTTGTTTTAGTTAGATTACAGAGCAACTACAGACCAAACTAGGAACTGCAACAGAATTTCCCGCAAGTTATTATTTCAATATTAGTGCATTACCAATTAAGCCAACCAAACAAATAAACCGGAGACAACCACAATATCAAAATCAACAGCAACAACAACTGCCGACTGCAAGACGGACAGCTAGCTTACATGCTTCCACATAACGCGAGCAGTTAACACATTGATTCTCATTAAGAATGTGGGTAACCCAGCCACGTGAGGGTCGAGATCTGAAGCTGAGCCCAGACCGAGTACCAATTGAAACAATTCAATTGCTCGGTAAACGTGTGCGTGTATATGTGTGTGTATGTTGCTCCCTATGCGTGTGACTATTCGCAACACCAGAACAGCTTAAAGGATTTACACAGGCAAAAAAAGAACTCCAGCATGGAAGCAGAGCTTAAGAGAGGCTATTAGTTGGTCGAGAAGTCGTGTTGACCATTTGACTGCACAGCAGGCGGCTATATTATTGCATATGTAACCTGCTGGGAAGACACACTCACCCACGCACACACACACACACATTCGATGTTACCATTCCCATATCACTCTACAGGGGCACGGCAATTAAGGAGTAAGTGCGCTGCACTGAGGGTGGAGTTGGCAATGCCAGACACGGACTGGCGTGCGGCAAACCAAAAACGCTGCGGCCAAGAGCCAGGACCAGACCGAAAAAAAAAATTTCAAAAATTAAGTATGCACTGTGCCAAGCGTCTGCCGACTAAATTAGTTAGTTGTTCTAAATAGGCAACATTCATTTGCAACTGTTAGCTAGCGTATATATATTGATGTGAAGATATGTGAGGGGTGAGCTCTTGTCTACGAATTTACACACCTCGCACACGCCAATATCGAGAAGCATTCGCATTTGGCCTCCAAAACGCCGCAGGCTGGCCAATAAACCGACCACAGACTGGATTCTGGCTGCTGCAATATATGGCCTAAAGGGAGTAGCTGCCACAGACTGCCGCTGACAACCCTTTTCATTTGCCCCGTGCTGAACATTCACATTTTTTTTTCATGTTTGCTTAACATAAAACCCCGTTGCGGGTCTTTCTAGCGTTCGCTTAAAGAAGACGAAAGCTTTAATAGATTGAAAATTTGTTTAATGTTCTATTAAATACATTTTTATTTTGTTGATATACTTAGAATTTTCATTTTGTTTATATACTTAGAATATGTGCTGACTTGATAGCATGATAGCATGTCGTTTGCATGCATTCATTTATACGGATAAGTTTGAGGATGACCCCTAAAAACCCTGGCGAAGGCCAACAAAGTAAGCACACGTTATAAATAGGTCAAGGCTACTGTCAAATTCTATTTAAAAAATTGCCGGCTAAGACAATACCTGACCTGAACTTCGCATCCAGAAGCTCTTTGTTCGGTTTCCTGAATGACTGGGTCACTTTGGCAGCTAATCTTCCGAGAACTACATCAATGTTTTTTGTTGCCACTCATAATAAGAAACTTTGAAGGCTTTCTAGTTGGCAGCCACTATCAACATATGTTTATTCACTTTTAGCTATTTTGTGAGTTTTATTACTTTCTGTCATATTTTTTATTCGTACCAATAACTGACACATCATTGCAAAATTATTCAAAACAATCGCAGTCTATCACGCTCAGCAGAAGATTTATACAATGTGACAGATATCGCATGACATATGCATAACTGCGGACACATAATGCAAAAGACCATACACACACACGGGCAAAACAAAGCAATGCATAGAAATGCGACAGTATTTACATTTTAATTAGCTGGCACGTCAAATTTTCGCACAGCCAATGGCACGTATTGCCGTTTGTCCTTGAAAGGGCATCATGAATTCTCTGCAGTATACATAAAACAAAATAAATTGCAAGGCCTAAGCATTTTGTTACAATATTTCCCCCACAATTATGCAGATTGGCTGCGCAAATGATGAGAAACTGCGGTTGGGCAACCCTCTGGTTGCAGAGGGACGCACATATGAAGCAATTTCTGTAGCAGCGGGTCGTATACGTAATATGCGCAAATATTTGCCAGCTGAAGCCGTACGTCATATTTGCTTGACTGTCCGAATGCAGCTGTGAGTATTTGTTCACTTCACCTTTTTTTGGACATTGCAAATTGCATTTTTGCCATGATTTGTAAATAGACTTGAGTATTACGGGTATTTGTGTGCTGTATTTTTGTTTGTATTTTTTTTCGCTGGTTTTGTAGTTACTCGCATTTTGTGGTTCGGATACAAACACTCGAGAGTGTAAATGTACACACAGAGAAATAAAACTAAAATAGAAACACATTTCATTTTCGTAAGTTCTGCTAAAGGAATATGCCACACACAAACAAACACACACACACACACTTATGTGCATAAGTAGCACACTGGTTTAAGTTGAATTGAAAAGTAAGTCATTTATGAAAAAAAACTGACCTCCTCATTATGAATCTGATTCTGTTTTAAAATTTGTATCCAAGGCTGCAAGCCAGATTTAGGCCGGGCCAGCTCGAACACAGAATTCCATTTTATGTTTTAAAATTAACAGAATTTTGATTGTTCGAATTACAGCTGAACCGAAACTCGAACCGAAACATCTTTTTCAAACTTGATTCGGAATATTTGGTAGATGCCAAATTTGAGTAGAGATCAATTTTCGATATGAAAATATGTATAGCTTGCAAATATTTGCAAATATTAAGAATTAAGAAACGAGATGGCAAACCTGGGTTTGAGCTTAAACCTAGCGTCATAAATGTATAAAACTAAGTTCAAAAGCCGCACCACAAGGCAGAAAGCCGATTTAAGCCGCAAGCGAAACCACCAAGCGTTTTTTTTCAATGCGTTGCAGCCTTGTTTGTAACCACGGTGCAACAACTTGAAATACACAGCAAACATAGCTGCAACAAGATGTGGCAGCAAGCCAGACAACAACTACAGCAAAGTGAAAATAAACTTGGCGATAAACCAGCAAAATCGATTGGAAATTTTGTTTTTAACGAAATTGCAGCTTAAAGCATCAATGCAATGCAGCTCGCTAGCTGCTGTCGTTCCCCGGGGCCAAAGGAGCGGAGGCTGCTACTTGAAGTCTTGACGCTAAGCTTTGAACGTGACGCTCATGAAATGCAACATAATTTTGGTGATTATGACACAGTCTCAGTTGGACATTTTGGACTGGCAACGAAATGTGGCATTTGGATATTGTTGATAATCGCCAGTCGCTCAAGTGTGCAATTCAGCTGAAGTTGCAAGTTGAAGCACCAACAGCAGCAGCTTAAATACTAACAATGCAATGGCCCTACGGGCTTTGGAAGCGGTCAAGTGTTTTGCACCGGAAACGAAGTGTAATGAAAGCGTGTAAAGTGCAAATCGAAAATGCAATACAAAATGCTCGTGCTAGCTGGCAGGCATTTGTAATGCTGTTTCCTCTAACTACCCACTGTCTGAATAGCTCTCTCTCTTGGTCCCTCTCTCCCTCTCTCTGTCTTCCTCTAAATTACCAATGTCGACACGGCGATAAGGCGAGTGAAAGGAGGCGATGCGAGACGCTCACATCCTGCCGTTAACTATGCAGCACCAAATTGCAGTTAAACGTGGCCAAAACGAAGGAAATGTTTCGTGTTGCAAGACACTGACTGCTACCTTTTCGGCGTTCGAAATGGTTTTCTGTTTGCTAAATTATTTCTTTAATTAAATGCTCTTAATTTTAATGTTGTCAAGCATTAAATGGCTGACTTATCGCTGATACGTGCACAAACATCACAAAACTAGAAAAAATAAAAACAAAGTGAAAACCAACAAGAACAATTTCCGTTTCGCACTGTACATTTAAAATATTAAATAGGGAAAAAAGTTACATATTCACTATTAAATAGTTTGACAACAAATTTGCATTCATTTTATACCCTGAACCCGTTAAAAATGGGTATAAGGGTATATTGTATTTGTGCAAAATCCAAATGTATGTAACAGACAGAAGGAAGCATCTCCGACCCCATAAAGTATATATATTCGTGATCAGCATCAATAGCCGAGTCGATCTAGCCATGTCCATCTGTC